GCTAAGCACGGGTCCAACGAATTTGGGTCGAGCTCATCGCATCGGACTTGCCTAGTGTGGGTTACCTCTCCTGTGTGGGTTACCTCTCCTATGTGGTTTGCGAGCTATTGCATAGGAGCGAGAGTAGCAGCTGCGAGTTTCTATTGTCAATCAGAAAAATTATTTGGGAGCATGTGTGGTTGCATAAGCTTTTACTTCTATTAACATTACTCCTTGTACATTCATATCCTTTGAAGTTCTCCAGGGGAAGGGGTGCCTACTTCCATTATTTAAATTATCTGTTTGAATAGCTTTGGACTTTCTACTCTTGTAAGGTCACATTTCGCTGAAAGCAAAAGTACTACAATGGATAAAAAAATATCATGGATCATCCCCAACAAATTAGTTCAGAGAAATGTCAAAGGTAAAATATTAATGGTAATATTCATAACTATATTAAGTTGTACTTATATACAATTAACAAAATATTTATTGTTAAATACTGATGCAATTGAAAAATCAAGCAAAGCGATTAAAGTGATGTATGGAAATATTATGCAATATCGAATTGCATATTTCAGAAAGGAACAAAAGCGATTGAAAAAATATATACACAGAGAAGAATGACATGACGTTTTTCATGAATTGGTTTCAATGTAATAGGGAGATGAAATATTTTTTTATTAGAGAATATAATTTCTAAAAATCAATCTAATAACAAATGATAGGACGTTGTTGATGTATTTCTTTATATTTTTACTGTTATTTTACATTGAAAAACATTTCAAACACATTCACAAAAGTATTCATGATAGATATTACAATATAAAAGTTCAATCTATTTGGCATCTTAATAAAAAGCAAGGAGGACCATCAAAACATACTAACAATTCCCCATTCAGTGCAATGGAAAATAAAGTAATTTTTTAATAGAGCATGTATCATTTCAAATAAAGAGATAATGATACGGTCGGCTAATATAATGATATAATTAATCTACAAGAAAAAATATTCTAACACATATCTTTTAACCCTCGCGTGAAGCGCGGCTATGCACCCTAGTTTAGTATATATGGTATAGAATGTGTGTCTAATAAGTAGTTTTGCCATTAATCATTTCCCTAGTAAATCTAAATTAAAACTAAACGCCAATTAATATGAATATTAAGTATATAAAATACTTATATTAATCATTATTTCTTAAGAAACGTGCAAATTTAACGGAGGAGTAATTATGGATACAAGAAATATTTCTTGGAACAAGCAATTAGGCTCATAATGCTAAGAATATACTCCTTGAGATTTAAATATTGAACCTGGTCTTCATTGTTATCCAAGTGAAGGCAAATATAAATATAAATGGTCATCTAATATTCTTTCTATTCTTTTCAACAATTTACAAAAGATGTAGAAGAATTCTCTGATCTAATTACATGTCTAATCTATTAGTTACCAAAATAAAGAGAGAACATTTCATGCACAAATAAAATTGACTGATGAATGTTATATCTTTTTTGTTGACATTTTTTTATTTTATCAATCATAAAGCAAACTGGACAAGCTATCTGGAATATCTTTATAAAAATATTCACCCCCTCCATCGCACAAAAGTCAATTACGATGTGAATTTGTATATTTCTTTAAATGTATTTAAAAGAAATTTGATATATATAAAAAAATTCTGAAAAATTATATAATAATAATCGAATTAAAGAAAATACAAATGAAAAACTACTAAGTTAAACAAATTTTTAATATCATAAGTTAAAACTTTGGTATAAGAATTAGCAAGTGAAGTCATTACCCAAACTTGAACAGATGAAAAGTAGAAGAGAAAAAGTACAATATGAGATGAAAAGACAAGAAGGAATTACTTTTTTCCTGATATATTCTCAAACTTTAATATTACCCATATTTGTAGCCACATTCAATATAGTGTCACCCCATATACTAATTCAAACCCCACTTTCACATTTGGCATGGAATTTTTTAGCAAAACAATGTTATAAATAGGAATGTATGTTGTAACAACATCAAACAAACAAGTAGAAATGCAAGAGTATACTACTAACTAGTTGGAGATGATGAACAAAAATGGTTTTTAAGTTTATCAAGGTGTTCCCTAGAGTTTCCTTGACCACTTCATTAGGGTTTACATTGTTGTTTGAAAAGCCTTGTTGAAGTGTTTGGGGGAACTCCGGGACTCGCTTTGAAATTTACACAAACGAATAGAAGTGCAAGAGTATTGGTTGTAGATGATGAACACAATGGTTCACGTATTTATAATCTATCAAGGTGTTCCCTAGAGTTCCCTTGACCGCTTCATGAGGGCTTCCTTTGATGTTAGATGCCCTGCTGAAGTGTTTGGGGGAACTCCCGGGCTCACTTTGAAATTTACCACAAGCGAATAGAAGTATAAGACAACAAGAGTATTGGTTGTAGACGATGAACACAATAGTTCACGTATAAATCTATCAAGGTGTTCCCTTGACTGCTTCATGAGGGCTTACATTGTTGTTAGAAGCCCTTCTCAAGAGTTTGGGGGAACTCCCGGGTTCACTTTGAAAATTACAAAAACATGTAGAAGTGCAAGAGTATTGGCTAGAGATGATGAGCATAATAGTTCACGTATATATCTCTATCAAGGTGTTTCTTAGAGTTTTCTTGACCGCTTTATGAAATTCAAGTGGTAGACCGTAAGTTTGTACATATTTTTAGTTTTTCTTACTTTATCGTACATTGACTTTAATGAAACCTTAAGGACCATTCTACCCCAAAAAAATGTTTGGTAAACGCCACTGTCAACTAGCTCAAAGTAATTCTTGTTAATAGAGTGATTATTATCATTTGATAATAAGAATGAGTGATAATTAAGTACAATATAGTTAGTTTCATAATATTCTCATCCGACTTCTAACACTTACTTAGGAAACATTGCATCATCTAAACTCTAAAGCCCTTTTTACCTTTTTAGAATTGAAAAAATACATTTTGTTGTGCAGAAGATTTATAAGAATTAGTTCAGATATTTCGTATTTAAAAAAATGAGAGAAAATTCCTCTATTTATAGACAACAATGGGTAGTGTAAGTAAGTGCTTATTGTCCAAAAGGTCACAACCCTTTGGAAAATTCACAATCTTTCTAAAAAGTCGCAACTTTTTCGAAAGTGACTTTTCGGAAAAAATCACAATCCTTCGAAAATGTTACAACCTTTCGAAAAGTCGCAATTCTTGATCAGAAAAGTCACAACTCTTCATAAAAATCACAATTCTTCATTTTCCATTCACACATTTTGCTTCAACATAGAATAACCTTAAATTTGTCAACTACAATAGCAAGTTAGAAAACGTACATGTTAACTATTATTAAACCAAGTTTAATTAGATTTAATTATAGTAAAACACTTAAATCCTTTTCAGAGAAAGTTTAGGATTCATATCTATAAATTCCTAACCCATCTAACAATCTTTTAATCAAGTTAATTTACCATGGAGACTTTTGCTTATGAAGAGTCTAACTTGTATTACACCTTAGGGTGGCCTGAAATAAACCCCAAAAATTTCCCTCATTCTTTTACGTTTGAATTAGTAGTAATTCAATTTATTTTCGAAATGGGACATCTTTTGTACGACACATCAAGTCATACACGACCAGTTAAGAAATTGTCAAGTTCCATTGATCTTCGAATGCAAAGTGATCGTTGATTAGTTGATCGAATTGACACATAAATATAGCCATTGTTCTGTGCTCGTTGATGATCGCTACGTATTGGGACTTGGTGTTAAGATTAACATGTCACACATATACAAGCAAATAAATGAAAATGATAGTCATGTCATGGCACAAGCTGTTTCAACTAAGAGTTGCAAAATATGTTACACTTAAATTGTATGAAAAAATTGTTTGATAGGAACATAGGTTGCCCAACTTGTACTCCTAACGATAATAGAGAATCCTAAGTTAATTGTCTAAATAAAAATATGGCAAGTGTAGGTGTCCTTAAATATTTTTATTTGAATTTATTTTGGTTTGATAAATGAAACATTTTACTTTTACTGTTGATTGTACGTAAGTTGGGTAAAAAAACACTTTGAAATGCGATTTATGTGTATACGAATAAAATGCTATTATGTGTACTTGTTTGATTCTTTTATTTCACAATGCCCCTTTGAGTTATATGTATCATATGCATGAGTAGATAGATTTTGTGGTCACTTGTTACAAAATGTGATTCTATTTCTTGAATTTCACACACAATTCAGACTTGGTTCAACCTGACCAAAATGCATTTTTTTTTTACCTCTTTTCAATTTTTGGTGTCAAAAAGGATATTAATTACTATCTTAAGTAGGCGTTTAATCATAGAATTTGAAAGCTTGATTTCAAGTTTTGATTTTAAATCAGTATTTGTTTATGAAAATCTGTACAAAGATTTAACTTCAACTTTAAATCACGTGGGATGATCTTATCAAAGCATAGTTAGCTATGTATCCAAGTGAATTCACATGTATCTGAGAGACATAGACAAATCTCGCTCGCTTTCCTCGCCTTTCTCCCATCTCGCTCACCATGCTCCTATATATCGATATCCAGATACATGCGAGTCGCATAAGATACATACATATATATGTATTTAGCACGCTTCACATGAATCTGGGATACATGACTATCTAGTTCGCCTCTCTCCCTATTTTATTATAGCTAGTAGCAGAAATACATGTTTCTAGGTGTCTTCCTCAAATTTTGGTAGAAAACACTTAATTAGTGATAAGCTACGTAATTATTTGAAAATATAGGTAGAATTAATATATATGGTATAGATATATATATCTAATAATGTAGTTGTTCCAGTAATCATTCCCTTAGTAGATCTAAATTAAAACTAAACATCATTTGATATAAATATTATATAAAATATTCATAGTGGTCATTATATCTTAAAAGACGTGCAAAGTCCAAAAACGGAGGAGTAAGTGTGAATACAAGAAATATTCATTGGAGCAAACAGTAGGCTATCAAGGTGTTCCCTAGAGTTCCCTTGACCACTTCATGAGGGCTTACTTTGTTGTTTGAAGCCCTATTGAAGTGTTTGGGGGAACTCCCGGGTTCACTTTAAAAATTATATAAACAAGTAGAAATGCAAGAGTACTAGCTAGAGAGGATGAGCACAATATGGTTCACGTATAAATATATCAACGTGTTCCCTAGAATTCTCTTGAACCGCTTCATGTGGGCTGAATTACTTCATTGTTTGAAGTCCTGTTGATGTGTTTGGGGGAACTCCGGAGTCCACTTTGAAAATTAAAACAAGAACTGCAAGATCTAGCTGGAGTTGATGAACACAATGGTTGAAGCACTAGTATTTCCATACAATTAAAGTCATGAAGGTTCGACGTTAATTTTTGTTCTTTAATTACCTAGAACTTTATTTTAGCCGTATAATTATCCATTTTGAGCTACATTGTATACTCATTGGAAGAAAAAATTGCACAATAAAAGAAATTCAAAAAATCAGCAAAAAAAAAAAGAAGAAGAAAAAAGCTTGTACCTATTAATAACTGATTTGGATGTAATTGTGCTAAATTTGATTGGATTCGTTTGATGAGTTGACACTTTGTTTAATTTATTCCGGATAAAAATGGTGTAGCACTTGATTTTTTTTTTTTATAATTGTAAGAAGACAGACGAAAAATATACCAAAAGACACAACGATTTAACGTGGTTCAGTCAATCGATCTACATCCATGCACAAAGGAGATGAGCAATCCACTATATAATTATGAGAGTACAAAATATAGAGAGAAATAACCTCAACCAATTCACTTGGAATACATGGGAGGTTCACACAAGTAATAACGTATTACTTGTGTCCCACAAATTCTCCCCCAAACCAAAACTAAGTTCAAATTCTAATTTCAAGTTCTAAGTTCAAGTTCAATTTATAATTTCAAGTTCAAGTTCTAATTTCAAGTTCATGTTCAAATTCTAAGTTCAACTTCAATAACTAAGTTTAAGTTCAAGTTCAAGTTCAAGTTCAAGTTCTAAGTTTAACTTCAAATTCTAAGTTCAAGTTCAAGTTCTAATTCAATACACTAATTCAATGTAGTCTTTAAAAAGTAAGCAGTGCAATGTATATATTAGTCTTTAAAGAGCAATAACAGTTATCTAAGTATAAGATTTTGTCTTTTGTATTAGTCTTTGTCTAATATTGAAGCCAGAGAAGTTGATTAAAATATTTAATGAATGTTTCTAAAGAATAATTACAGAGTATGTAGTGAGCCAAGACTTTTTCTAATACAAAATCTCCCAGCGACTAATGTGACTTGTTCATGCCTTTCAAATCTATCTTACTCAGAGGTGAATCTAGGATTTCTAGAAGTGAATCTATACAAAACAAGTCATCCTAAGCTACTCCCATTACTTCATCTTTTCCTAAATTAACCTAAGACTAACATTAATAATAACATATCTCAATTAAAAATAAAACAGAGGGAAAATTACAACAATTTCACTTTGGTTTGTAAATGACAACATATTCTTCCTAACTGAAGTAAAAATGAGTTTGATTGATCTTAAAAATGAACTACGGATGACATCCTATTAAGGATTCTAAAACGACGGTGAGTTTAATTATACAGTAGAGTTAGATGTCTTCTTATCACAGTAGACAACATTTCCTAATTTAGTTTCAATCAATGTTGCCTATTAATATTCACATATGGTAGACTCTAGTTCTAAGCCTTCACACAATGTGTTTTTTCTGTATACCAAATAATAAGTTTTAATTATATCATCAAGAAGGAACAATAAAAGAAATTAATAACTCTACCAGCAAAGCTGGGGTTTGTGAGGCTATACCATTCCTCATACTCAGTATCTTGAAAGGGAGGCCCCTATTGAATACATTTATTAGTCACACATCATGAAAATAGTATGTGTAGAAGAACTTTCACATGAAATGCCACAACTAATTAAGAATATAACCGAAACCTGAATTCAAATCATAGGGCAGGAAGACAAAAAAGTTACGTTTGGAAGGACACTTTTGTATGTGCCTACAAGTAGCCAAAATTAAATGCTCTAAACTTGAGTACAACAGTTCACCATAGTCTATAGATACTAGGAATTCACAAGTTGAGTACAACAATTGTGTTAACATTCATATAACCATCCAACTATATTAAGTTTAGTGGTTGTTGAGATACTAGACAAAAGCAATCAGCTTTGTAAAAAATCTTTGACTATCAATTCTGTAGCTTTTCTACATGAAACACATCTGGAAGAAACAATATTCAGCACAACCATACATTAGTTTTCATATGTAACACAAACTATATTTACCTTCATAGAACTTCTCATTTTAAATTATGCATGAGTAGAACTTCAGTAAACTCCTTAATGATATTTGAACTTCTATCCAGTGTCTTGAAAAAAGAAAGCACTCATTCTTCATATCCAGAAAGGTAGTTTCATCTGCAAAAAAAGTAATTCATACATTCCAATTACAGTGGCATTGACAAAAAGTACACCATGTCATTGATCATCCTCAAACTTTTATGAAGGTTAGGAAACAGTTTACCTTTATTGCATTATATGCAATAAAAATGTAGGCTAATTATTGAGTTAGTAATTAAGTACATAAAAAAAGCAGGATGTAAGCTTACCATGGGTGAAGATCTATACTTACAGTACAACAAACACATGAAGTGCTATACTTAAGAGTGATGGCTTATCATGGGTAAAGTTCCAAATAACAAAACCAACAGTTTCCCATTCAGGATGCAGAGAGTAGCCCATACTAGTATAGAATACATGAAAAAATTGGAAAGCGATAAAAAATAATTCATGAATTTCACATGGTAGTAATCTGTTTGTGTAAATATTTATAAGTGATTTGTTTGTGTAAATATTTTTTACACTTGTAGTGCATAGAAGTTAAGTCCTTGATTTTCTTAACAGGTACATATAAATGATTTATGTGAAGAAGAAAAGATAAAGATATGTTGTGTGTTGAACTATGAGAAGATCTTGAAAAAAACTCTGAAGGAAGTCACTCAAAATGAAAGCTTTCCAGCTTGTGCATTAGTCACTATGCAGAACAAGCTCATATATTCAGTCACAAGGATTTCAAATTTTTCTCACATATTTGGTGATCATATAAATCAATGTAGTCTTTGAAAAACAAGCAGAATCAATGTAGTCTTTAAAAAGCAAGCAGTGCAATGTATATATTAGTCTTTAAAGAGCAATAACAGTTATCTAAGTATAAGATTTTGTCTTTTGTATTAGTCTTTGTCTAATATTGAAGCCAGAGAAGTTGATTAAAATATTTAATGAATGTTTCTAAAGAATAATTACACAGAGTATGTAGTGAGCCAAGACTTTTTCTAATACAAAATCTCCCAGCGACTAATGTGACTTGTTCATGCCTTTCAAATCTATCTTACTCAGAGGTGAATCTAGGATTTCTAGAAGTGAATCTATATAAAACAAGTCATCCTAAGCTACTCCCATTACTTCATCTTTTCCTAAATTAACCTAAGACTAACATTAATAATAACATATCTCAATTAAAAATAAAACAGAGGGAAAATTACAACAATTTCACTCTGGTTTGTAAATGACAACATATTCTTCCTAACTGAAGTAAAAATGAGTTTGATTGATCTTAAAAATGAATTACGGATGACATCCTATTAAGGATTCTAAAACGACGGTGAGTTTAATAAAGTCTAAAACATAGAAGTCATCAAAAAGTGATGACAAAAAATGGATGTATCCACTTCCTAAATCTAGTTGAAGGGTAATTTGAACTCACAAGAAAAAACACCAACTACATTCCACATTTCCCTTATTTTTCTTTCAGTATGATCATATATCAGTCTCTTATACGATTGGCCTAATCTGGAACATTCCATTTCCTACATTTGATACATAGATAGAAGGTGTAAGCTGAGAATGATAACAAAAACTAACTTCTAGATTAGAAACAATTGTACCGTGAGAAGGATTCTGCATCATCCATAAGTTACCTCACCACTTGAATATCGAACTGACCTGCGATGAGGCAGAGGACATCAACAACTGTTGAGCACTCCATTAAAGAATTGTTGGTAGAATTCGGTGCTCCTCTTTACTGAAATCCTAAAATAGAAAACAAAGATAAAATTGAATAAGAAAGTAGCAATGAGAAGCAAGGACAAAACGAAGCTCTGATTTGTTTTTCAAAACCGAGGGTAAATAACTACTGATAAAATATTGACGAAAAAGAAAAGAAAAAACAGTGTTACCGTCGTCATTCTTCAACAACTTCTAATCTTAGAAATGAAGTTCTTCATCTGAAAAAGCTCTAATCATCACTCTCTCTACCGGCAAAATCATCATCGTCAATTTCTACTTCACGTCAATTGAATGTTATGCCCGATTTATCACAAATCGGTGGCTCAGTAGAGGAAGCGAATCAATTATGTTCGACTTTATTGGACCTAACTTTGACGAGCCTCTAGGTGAAAGAAACCCTAGAGTACTCTTGGGGAGAGGCGGAAGTATTTTTGGGGGCTGAATAGGAAAATATTGGGACTTTCATGTGGAATGGTTAGGGTTTACTAGGGGTGTGCAAAAACCGAACCGACCGATAAACCGAACCGAAAAAAGTGTTATTGGTTTATTGTTATTGGGTTATTGGGTTAACGGTTATTTAATGGTTTTACAAAAAAAAATTATTGGATTATCAGTTCGTTATTGGTTTTTACTATTGGGTTATTGGGTTAACCGATAACCCATTAAGAATATAATAATTTACTATTTTAATTTTTAGTTATACATATATATAATATATTAAACAAAAAATATTAATATAATTAGTAGTATATTAGACTAAAAATATAAAAACCCTACGCAATAATTAGCACTACTTAACAATTAACTCTCCTCTCTACTTTTAGTTATTTAACCTTTAGGTTTTACTTTTTAGTATTATTTATTTACTTTAGTTAGTTTATAATTGACTAATATTAGCTTTTGCACGATTGTAAATATCTGCAATTTGATTAACGTCAAGAATTCAGATTGTGTTTTTTTTTAGAAAAATAACATAAGAACTTCA